GTTGTTATTCAGTGCTCTAAATATACTCTATTAATAGGAAATATGAAGTATAGTAATTGCAGCAGATTAGGAACCAACTGCCATTGAAAAGATAGCTTGTTACTTGCAGTTCTCAAGAGGAGGAGCACGCCATGCCATGGGGGGCCACACAGGGAAGCCTGGGGTCGCTCATGAGGGGGGGGGGAGAACGAGGGCAAGAGCCTCTCTGGTGGTTTCGTGGGAAGGAATGGGTGAGGTGGGCAAGCAGGTTTAGGAGTGGCTAGTCTGGATCATTTCAGGGGCTCTGGGGCAGAGAGGCTGTCCCTGGTCGTCTGGTACCTGGCCCTGGGGTGATTAGGTGAGGGGATGGCGGCTTGGAGTATGAAGAAGTCAAGCATCAGAAGCCAGAAAATAAAAGACTCGGTTAATAGAAGGAGAAAACGAGCTGATGTGGCTGCTGTGTTACCGGTTGCTAAAGATCCAGGTCAGGTTTCTGATCCCCATGTGCCCATCCCCAGGCCCATAAGAGATGAGTGACTTCTACCCGCACAGCCAGCTGGGAAGAGTCACAAACGTGTGGGTCTTCACGGCCTCCTGCCCGTGGTGCTTTCTCACGTGCCGTTCTCTCCCTCTGGAATGCTGTGCCCCCAAACGCTCTGTTGACCCCACTCATGCTGCAGGATCCAACACAGACATCTCCTCCAGGGAGCCCTCCTTCCCCTCCCCCGGCCTCACTGCCCTTCCACTCCTGCACAGCCCCACCCCTGCCCGTCCCAGCACTGACCCTGCTATTTACTCTCTGTCCCTCCCTCAGCCCTGGCTACACCTTAGAACCACCTGGGAACTTGAAAACTGCCCCACCCAGTGCTCTCTCCTGCAAGATGAGTCCAATGAGCGCTCTGTGGGTGGGACCTTGGTGTTGGTACTTTTTACAGTTCCTGGGTAATGTGCAGACGTGACTGAGAACGGCCACTCTAAACTGTGAGATCCTTGACCACAGGGCTCTGTGTCCTTTGGTCGCCTGGCACAATGCTCACACAAATGAAGGAATCGCTTTCCTGAACACAGAGAGGACGGGGCTACAGGGTCAGTGAACTTTGAACAAGGGCCCTCAATGACACACAGCGTGAAACGCGGGCGCCGCCCTTCTGTCTCTGACTCTCGTCTCTTTGCCCATCTTTGGGGAAGTCGAGTTCCAAAGTGGAGAAGACCAAGCCGCCCACCTGTACAGGCGGCCCCTCCACTTCCACCGGCCTCTTGCAGATGATTGCATTAGTGGCCGCAGCTCCTCCCCCTCCCTGTGTAACCCCCCTCACCATGTAACTTTGCAGTGCACCCCCCAAGTCTAGGCTGGGTCATGTGACTTGCTTTACCTGCTGGGATGGGAGCAAACCTGACACAGGTGGAGGCTCGAGTGATCTGGCTTTCCCTGCTCTGCTCTGCTGAGGCCGTGCGGGGCTGTGTGGGGCTGGCCAGCCAGAGGTGAGACAGCAGGAGCAGGGCTGAGGGGCCCGGTCAACCAGCTGACGCCACAGTGTAGCAGCTGGCAGCCAGGCAACCCTCAGACATGTGTGTGAGCACAGCCAACGTCACCAGGGCTGCCCAGCTGACCTCACCTGACCTCAGTCTCAGCAGCAAGCCCTGCCCAAAAGCTCAGCCCCACACACCTGCGAGCTAAGTAGATGCTTCTGGTTTGTGCCTTAAAGCCATGCGGTTACTCATTACCCAGCCTCATTGTACCAGCAGAAAATGAAGGCACTCCCTCCCCCTTCTCTCTATGGCTTTAAATTCCATTGCTTCAAGCTCTTTGCCCTCAGCCCTAATGCACACTCAACTGTTCTCCCCACGTTATCCTAAGATGCTATATCTTCCTTCAACTCCATTTTACCTCCAGGTGTGGTCTCTCCCTGCTTTGCTGCTGGCCGAGAGACCCCAAATCTCAGAGCAGAACTGCAGGGCTCATTCTAGAAGATGCTTTGCTCTCTGAAGGATCATAAAGCAAAGCAGACACGGGGGGAGCAGAGAAGCTTGTGCGAGGGGTTGGATTTGTGTCGCCAGCAGATCTCGAACAGTATTAATAAAACATTAATGCACTTATTTAAATATGTTTATCTTTCACTGTAAACACAGCCAACCAACTTGTTCTCTGAGAAAACACTTAATGAGATTGATGATCAAACTCTTTAAATAGCAACACAGTTATTTGTTTTGCAAACTGTTTTGTAACGCAGTTAACAAAAGGTTAAGGGGATGTAATGTACAGCGTGGTAACTGTAGTTAATAATACTGTATTATATATTTGAAATTTGCTAGAAGGTAAATCTTAAATGTTCTCACAACACACAACAAAAGGTAACTATGTGAGGTGATGGATGTGTTAATTAACTTGATTGTGGTGATCATTTTACAATGTATACATACATTAAATTATCACATTGTGCACCTTAAAAAAATCACATTGTACAACTTAAATATACACAATTTTTATTTGCCACCAAACCTCAATAAAGCTGGGGGGAAAAAAGGCGACAATGACTAAGAAACACAAAGAAAAGCTGATGAGCATCTCCGGTCATAAATCAGGGAAATGAGGACCATGGCCGCAGACTCCTCTCTTGTCCTTCTCTCCTAGGGGAGGAGATTTGTGTGTTCTGAGAATTCTCTGCTCCTAAATTTCCCTTCTGCACAGCCTAAAAAGGCGCTCATTGGATGTTAAAGGTGGGGGCGAGGTATGAGCCACTCACTTCTTAGTATGAAATAGTGTATTCAGTGCTTTGTCCCAACACCAGGCAGACAGCTTGATGAAGCAGGAGCTTAGAGAAGAGGTAGCAGGGTCAGTCCAGAGGCCCTTGGAGAGTGTGTGGGATGCTGCAAAGCCAGAGGGCAGGGTCAGGACTCTGTGTAAGCCATGTGGGAGGTGGCGGAGGACGGAGCTCAGAGAGTGGGGAGGAGATCTGGAAGGAGACTGGGATAGGGCTGAGGAGAAGGGATGGTCGGAGACCCAGGAGCTCAGGAACGGGGAAACACAGAGAAGGCTGTGGGGACAGCCTGCCGCCTGTGTCTTTTCCAGCAGCAGCTTCGGGAGCACTGTGGCCAGGGGCTGAGGAGCGAGTGTGAACTATGGAGTCAGACAGGCCGGGCTTCCCCATGGGCTCTCGGCGTCTCACTTCCTTGTAGATGAAATGGCTGAATTATTCTTCTTAACGTGTGTTCTCGCCTTTCAGGGCCTGAAAGGTCTTTGCCCCAAGGTCTCTGTCAATTCTTGGGGCAGGGCCCTGAGGATCCTGCCCAGAGCACCCCGCTCCAGACCCCTGGCTTCCTGGACAGCCCTGCCGTCCTGGACGGGTCCCACATAACTCAGCCTGTGCCTCTTCTCACCTCCACTTCACCTGCCTCTGTGATCTGACCCTGCCCTGCCCTGAGCAGAGAGGGGGCAGGGAGAGGTTGAGTGATAGAAGCCCTCCTGTGTACCTGGTGCCGTGATGGCTACTGACCCTCATTGTTTGGTCTGAGACCTTCACCACCCCTACAAGGTGATATTACTTTTGTTTTACTACTGGGAAGGCTGAAACTCAGAGAAGCAAAGTGACTTGCTCGAGGACACACAGCTAGTTGGAGGGGTCAGCTGGACTCCACATCCTGGGATCCTAACTTCTAGATACAAACTGGGGACCTCAGTTTTGCTTCCTCTTCAGCCTTGATTTGCATCCTCAGCTCTGCCCAGTTCCCCCGGTGTCTTGAGGGCATCCTTGACCTTCCATCAGGAGCACAGGGATTTCATCCCACTGCCCTAGAGCACTCAGTCTTGTTTTAGCATCTGGCAGGAGATTTGAGCCCAGATGGTCCCATTCACCAATACCAAGCTGCCAATACCAACGGGTTTACACAACAAGGAAGGACATCTGAGACACACTGGTGGCACATACAAGGTTCTAGAGGGACTTCAAGACCACAGCCTCAGCCTGCGGGGGTGCAGGAGGCAGGCCCCGAGGAGCTATGTAGAAGAGACAGCAGACTGATCCCTGAATGATTCAGCAGCACCTCAGAGAAATCCCCACCTGCTCACTCCAGCCCACTCTCCTGAAAGCCCCTGGGGGATGAGCTCCTGAAGCAGTGTCAGCGAATTTAGTCTTCAAGGCGGCCTAACGGTTGGCTGGAAAGCTGCCATTGGCACCGAGTGCGATCGACTGTCGGGTCAGCCAAGCCATGCAATGCTGGGCTGTGCCCCCAGACCCGTGGTCCTCAGACTTTGCTGGGCATCACATCCCTGGGGGCTGACACAGAACACAGGGACCAGGCTTGCTGAAACATGACAGCGTCTGGGCTTCAATTCTCACCAAATCCCCCAGGAGATTCCGATGAGACCAAAGTTGGAGAGCCAATTTGGCTCCAACCAAGACATGGGATCTTGCTTCTCCAAGTGTGGTCCATGGCCCAGCAGAGTGGGCCTCACCTGGGAGCTGTCAGCAATGCAGAATCCCAGGCCCTACCTCAGACCTGCTGAATCACTTTAACAAGATGGGCAGGCTCCACGTGCACACGAAAGCTTGAGCCCCCTGGATGAGGAAGGCCTAGCAGATTACTGATAATTGATTTCCAGCTCACACACTATCACCTCTGATCCCCATGACAACCTGGCAGGTGAGCGCCATCTTCCCAGTTGTACAGATGATGACATAGAGGCTCGGAGAGGTGAGTGACTGTTCCACGAGTTCACAGGTGGGGGAGCTGGGGTGGGAACCTCAGGCCTTTCCACCCTGTGTCTCATCCCCACCCCTCCCTGTCGTCCTCACTCCAGGACGTGAACAGCCACGCCTTCAGACGTGAAACCTTCCCGTACATTGGAGTCGACACACCGCAGCAGGACACAGACCAGAAACTTACACAGATGTTCATCCACCAGGATGGAAACAAAAAAGTCTTTCTAGGCAACCCTAAAATCCAACTCACCAGGACCCCTCAATTTCCCAGAGCCTCAAACTCTCCACTGAAAGTCTATAGAGCAGTCATAACAGGCTTACCGTGTTCATCCAGCAATATGTTGTCTGGCTTGATGTCTCTGTAAGAGAAAACAAAGAAGCTGAAAATGTGACTCCTGGAGACGAGCCCATGACAAGCAGGACACTTGGGGACAAGTGCTGACAACACCCAGTGTCCCTGTCTCTCCCTTGGCCTGAGGTCTCGGACTGGGGGCAGGGAGTAATTACTATGATAATGGAGTGCATGTGTTCTTGCTTCCTGCCCTTTCCTGCAACTGCAAGTGGGTTGTGTGCATATTTTTTTCCTGAATATTCTTAACAGTTTCGGGCCTTGTGACTCCCGGCAGGGACTGCTCATTGGGCACGTGGTCTCTGCCAGTGGGCATACACATTTCCCCTTCCTGATGCAATTTGGCCCTCCTGCCTTGCTACGTATGTACGTAACCTCCCAGGTGTTATGGTCTCTGCTTTGCAGAGGCGGGAATTGAGACCTGGCCAGGGTCAGTAACTTCTCCAGATCAGAGGTCGGCCACATCCAGCCCTCAGCCGGTTTTTGTATGGTCTATGAGCTAAGACAGGCATTTACATCTTTAAAGTGTTGTCAAAACAAAACAAGACACACACACACACACACACACACACACACGAAGCAAAAACATAAAGGAATGTACAAGAGAAACTAATGTGGCCCTCAAAGCCTAAAATATTTATTATCTGTCCCTTGACGGAGAAAGCTTGCTGATCCCTTTTTAGGGTAACACAGTGAACCACATGCAGCAAAACTGGGCTGGGGAGTTTCTGGGAAGTTCTGCTCTACACACCATCACAGCAAAGGGCCATCAGTCATAAGTTGTGCTTGTTAAAGACGGGGCCTTTCTTTCTCCACCTCTGCACCTGGTGCCTTCCACGGGGCCCGTCACTAGCAGACACTGTCAAAGAAAAATCAGAGCTGGACGGAGTTAAAGTGGTAAAAACGGACTGTATTCAGGACTCTTGGGGAAAAGAGGCCACAGGATAGAACCCGGCTCAGTTCTGAACACAGCACGGACAGGTGGGTTATAGCCCAGAGGCAGGTGGGGCCAGTGGACGGAAGTTACTAACAGGAAACATCAGGGTGAGGATTCTGGCTAAACCGACCCGAGAGGATTCTTGCTGCAGCCAGGCCAGGGCACCAGCCCTCACCTCGGGGTGCTGGGTGGTGAAGACCTGATTAGATATCGACGGTGGGGGATTCTGGCTCAACTGACTTAGCAGGCTTTTGATAAAATTGGACAAAGTAGAGACCAACAAGGAAGCCCAAAAGTCAAGGTCTAGTTGCCTAAGAAGACCCTGAGTAGAGTTTGCTTGAGGAGAGAATCTTTGTCAGCTAACAGGAAACACGGATGAGAGAGGAATGGAAGAAGGAAGGCAAAATAAACACAGCCTTCGAGAAACTCATGACACCTTCAACCCCGATTTACTCATCATTAACATGCATTCACCTCCACAGCTCTATGTTAAAACCACAGATTCTAGAAATGCAAGCTCCTCTCACTCCCTTATAATAAATGTCAGATCTTCTGAGACTAATGATAGCTTTCTTCAAAATTAGAAGCGATTGCTCCTGAGTTTATCGAATAATAATTCTACCTGAAAACACAGTGTGGTTACTGGTAATAATGCGAGGTGATGTCTACGGCTTTGGGGATGAAAGAAACACTCAACCGATGTATTTAAATTGTTATTGTCATTGTGACTTTTCCAGCCCATGAATATTGACAAGCATTAAGTAAACGGGCCCCTGCTGCCAAGTTCATGAACACCCGGGGTGAACAGAGAGATTATTCCTGGAGGCCCCTTGGGGAGAACGAACTCGAGAACTTGCAGAATTAAAACAAAAGGCAGAAGACCTGGAGTCAAGTGTTTGTGGATCAAATCAGCAAACGCTTGGCCCCTGTCCAGAGCACCTCCCAGCAGGGTTTTTCAAGAGGTGAGAAATGAAAAATAAAGACTTGTTAAGAAGGAAAACACAGCAACAAATGTTAAAGTGCATCCTTTAAGGCGTCGCCAGGGCTGGGATGACCTTGTTTGGGGCATGGGGATCAGGGAGGAGGTGCTGTGGCCCATGGAGCATGAACCCGAAATGCCTGCGAGGGCCACAGCCTGAAGCTGCTGCCCCCACCGATGCTGAAAGCACCCGTCTCAAGTGTCCCCCCTGTCCTCTTCCCTTTCCTTCCTTCCTCTTGCCTCCCTTCTTCCCTCTGACTGTCCCGTCTCCCTTTCTTTCACCTCTTCCCTCAATCTTTGCTCTTCCTCCATCCCTTCCACAAACATTTCTCAAAGGCCTCCTCCGGGCAGGTCTGGGCGGAGAGCTGGGGCTGCAGAGGCTCAGGACATGTCCCTCCCCACCTGAAGCCCAGAATCAGTGGGACAGGGAGACACGTGGGCCCGGTGCTGTCTGGTGGAGCAGCACAGGTGATATGAAGCAGGGAAGCGGGGGGCCATGGAGCCCTGGTGGAGGGAACAAGGGCAGCCGGAGAACAAATGGCCCGGGGGGCACTCAGACCGGTAGGGACCAGGGTGTCAGAGCCAATAAAAGGTGAGGGGCAGCAGACCTAAGGAGAGGTAGCCTGGTGTAGTGGGGTGAATAGTGTCCCCCCAGAACTCATGTCTACCCAGGACCTCAGAACATGACCTTATTTGGAAATAGGCCTTTGCAGATGGAATTAGTCAAGGATCTCAAGATGAAATCCCGGGTTTAGGGTGGGCCCTAGATCCAATGACCGCTGTCTTTATAAGGGAAAGGAAATGGAGGTCTGGACACACAGACACAAAGGAGAGAAGAAGCCGTGTGAAGATGGAGGCAGAGACTGGAGTGATGTGGCCACAAGCCCAGGAACACTAGGAGCCACGAGAAGCTGGAAGAGGCAGGAGGAGATTCTCTCCCACCCTCTGGAGAAGCACAGCTCTGCTGACACCCTAATTTCAGTCTTCTGGCCAGAACTGTGAGATAATAAATTTGTGTTGTTTTGAGCCACCAATTTTGTGGTAATTTGCTTTGGCAGCCGCAGGAAGCTAACACATCTGGCAGAGCAGGAGAGCTGACAGAGGAAGCAGACATGTCTCAAGTGGCAGCCAGGGTCCCCCACTGACCGGGGTGTGACCCGCATCCACGTCTGAAAGGCCCCCGTGCACAGTCTCTCATCTCATGAGAACCAAACAGGGTGCAGATGTAATTAGCTTTGGTAAGCCAGACCCCACGGCTCCCAGGAAGGAGGTCGAGGTTCCCATCCCAGCCCCTCTCCTGCAGCGGGTGCCCCTGCCTGTGCTGCAGTTCCCTTTGTGGTGTGGATTACATATCTGATACGTGCATGTGTTCCCTCTGTGTCAGCTCTTAGCACACAGGGGAATCAATGATCCTCAAACGTTTATGGGGTGTCCTCTCTATGGTCACTGGAGACACAACCGTGAACCGGAGAGACCCCGACAAATGGAGCTTGTGTTCTAGGAGAGGAGACAGGCCAGGAAGCACGGGAATAAATGACACGACCATAAGTTGGGACAAGTGCTTTGAGAGTCTAGAAAAGAGACCGGCAGAGGTCCTGCTTGCGGTAGGGGGTCAGGGAAGGACTTTCAGAAGACGTGACATTAGGTTGACACTGGATGACAAGAAAGAGCCAGTCATGCACAACCCTGCGAGCAAGTTCCCATTTTGCAGATGAGGCAACAGAAGGCCAAGAGGGTAACCGATTGACCTGTGACATGCCTCTAGCCAAGGGGACACGACGAAGGTGATGGGGTCATCTCAAAGATGACATCAGGTAAGACTCCATCTTAGCAGACTGGAGTGAGGGGTCCTCCCTTGCTGGCTTTGAAGACGTGTGTGTGCTGTGAGCAGGCCACATGGCAGGGAACTGCAGGTGCCCCTAGGAGCTGAGAGACAGCAAGAAAATGGTGACCTCAGTCCTGCAGCCACAAGGGACTGAGTTCTGCCAACAACCATGAGAGCCTGGGAAAGATCCAGAAAGGTCCAGAAAGGAATGTAGCCCAGTGGGCACCTGGGTTGCAGCTTTCTGACAACTTGAGCAGAAGAGCCAGCTGAGCCGTGCCCAGACTCCTGACCCAGGGAAACTGTGAGAAAATAAACGTGAGTCGTTTGAAGCTGCTAAGTTAGTGGTTACTTGTTATGCAGCAATACAAAAGTGATACACTAGCTGTGTGATCTTGGGCAACTTCCTCTGAGACTCATTCCCCTCATCTGAAGACAGGAATAATAGCCCCTATCTGATTGTTGCGGGGGGTATGCAGTGAGGTACTACTTATACAAGGTTTTGCATGGCTCCCAGTGCATAAGGAGTGCTCTTGAAAGGAGCTAGGGAGGACTCCGGGGCTGATTCCTGAGCTTTTAGCAAAGTGAATTAGATCTCTTTCATAGGAGGCTGACCAGGCAGGCTCCTGCAAAGCTTTACAGAGGAGACGGACAGCCTGAGTCACTGGGGATCTAATAAGAATAGCATTTTATGGGCAAAGCATCTTATCAGAGCCTTTAGGACCATTTCCTCCAGTTCTCTTCCTCACATCGATCATATCTCAGCTCTAGTGCGTCATCCTGGTGCAAATGGGCTCGAAAGTTCAGAAAGGCCATTAGAAGCATTGCGTAGATGGGAGAGGCTGTGACGATGTTTTCTGAGGACAGGCCCATAATTTCAGAGCTGGGCGAAATGACACTTTGATGAAAAGAATACAAGCGAGGCTGTAAATCCCGGTTCTTGCTCTGGAATCATTCCCCAGTCCCGAAATAAAACAAAGCATAAAATGTCAGCTGGGGTATTTTAAAAAACAGCACAGAAATGGCTCTGACCCAGACCGCAGAGGAGGGCCATGAGGACATTTCTGTGCGTGTCCCTTTGCAGGGGGCTTCTGAGTATTCTGTGTTGGCAATCTTATGCAGCAATAAAGACACAAAAAAACCTGGTACAGGAAGAGCCACATTTGTGAAATGAAAATCTGTGGAAATGTTACCACTAGAGCAAGAAATATGCATGTTAACATGCATGGAGGTCGTAGGGAGAGGTGGAAAAAGACAAATACAGAGAGGCCG